TCTACTTTCTTATAGTTTGTAGATGTGTATCTGAACAATGATCTTGGTAAATAAATTCATTGTTTACTGATATTTAGGTACGAAGCTAAAGCAGCAAATATTGTGTTCAAAGCAACACGGACTGTCACAGAGAGCTCGCACATAATTAGATAAAGTTTAATTAGATTAATGGGATTCAACATACCTTTTATTAGTATTTACGTATATGCAAAGAAAGGTATGTTGAATCCCATAAATATATTATCATAAGGCCTAAATTAGAATATTGTTTGTTTCCCCTTTCCGACTCAGCATTGTGACCTAAGGGTCGGTAGGTAGGAAAAATATTTTATTTTTTTTCCAACAACAATTATTAGATATCAGACAATAAAGTTCAATCATTTGTAATTTTTTGATTAAGTTTAAATTTGTTTATCAATGTTTAATAGCAAATATATTAGACACATCCACCGAGTTCAGGTATGATAGGAATGAAATCATTTAAAAAATATTTTTTCCTCAGATGAGGCAATAAAATTTTTTGAGTCGCGGCGATTTTGGTGGGTCGGTGGGTAAGGGGAAACAAACGATATTTTATTTTAGGCCTAGTAGTAAACATTACAAGAATTATATTTGTTAAAATTGAACCCTGTACGTACTAGATCTATAGGATATTTTGAATCTTGTCATTAACACATTGTTAACGTCGCTATTTTATATCTAAAACAGTTGTAAAGTTATAGTCTAAGGTTAGCCCGTTTTGGTTCAATTTCAAATGAAATACGATGTTAGGCCTACGTCAGCATGCACCACCCCTAAATGAATGCGTTAACATGTTCAGGCGCGGATCTAAAGGGGGGGGGGGGTTGAGGGGCCCCCCCTGGAATTTGCGGAATAGCAAAATAGAGAATGTAGAGTAACTAAAAAATGACCTCTGACCCCCCCCCCCCCCACTGGAATTTGTGGATTACAAAAAATTATTCGTTTGCCACCCCGGAATATATTGGTAAAAGGTGGAAGGAAGAGGGGTATGTAATTGACGTAGCGAGTAGCAAAAACTCTTCTCTCTCTCACACCCCCACCCCCACCCTCCGATTAGGATTTTGAGAATTTTGGAAAGAGTTACTGTCCTTTGAAAAAGTACTAGCCCCCCCCCCCCCCCCCCCCCCCCCCCCCCCGAATTAATATTTTGAGAATTTGGGGTTTGGGAAGACCATCTTTTATTTCATTAAATGAGTTGTGGAGAGGAAAAGGTCTAGGGTAGAATTTTTTGGACAGAATTGGACCCCCCCCCCCCCCCCCCCCCCGAAAAAAAAATCTTGGATCCGCGCCTGATCTTTATAGGCCCTTAGGCCTTAAATAACAAGTACTCCGCTCGCACGGTGTCGGCACCATCAGCATATTTCACAAATTTTAGAAGACTGTAAGGTTTCTTCATGTGTTCATATTGTAGTATGTACTAACCTTGACGGAAATTCAAAGTCATGCTGATGCCATTTAGATTTGAGAATTTCCACTTTGCAGTGATCTGAAATTTGGTGTTTTGACTCGGGAATAATTTTACCAAGATCTGGATAGGTAGGCACATCACTGTTATTTATGGCACTGTTGCTGTCATTAGATACAGATTTTGGTCTACACACTGAATTTAAATTTTTCCGGGTGATAAACTTATCCATGACTTAAATAATCAATTAAACGCTTGACGTGTATGTACTAATTCTCTATTACGACAAGCACCTTAATGTCATGTAGGAACATTATAAAAAGAAAAGGTCAGACGAATAATAATTTTATATCCGATTTTAAAACCTGTATGTATGAACATTGGGCCTAAATTATTTTTTGCAAAAATTTATGGGCTTTTTTTTTTTTTTTTTTTTTTAGTGACAATGTGTAGGCACGTGCCTACTCGAGCCTAACGTAGCTACGCCCCTGCCAGTAGAGCTAAAAAAACAAACAGAATCAGGAGTCCGAATATTAATTATTCAGGTCAAAATTTGTGATTTCCGGCAATATCTCTAAATATTTGTATAATATTTTATTATTGGAATAGATTCAGTATTTAATACCTTAATTTTGCCGAAGGAAATAACTTTCTTTATGAAAAATACGTATATGAAATCATATCTTTTGAATTACGTCATTCTTATTACATTGTACTATAAAATATGTGTTTTATTTTTTTGACTGGTGTGTAGATAGCTAGACTTTTGAAAGATGGGTGGACGCTAAACAGAGAAAAAACATGGAATGGCCTAATATTTAAAAACAAGCTGGTAAATTTTGGTATGTACAGGGAAGACACCTAATTCAATTTTTGTTGCTAAGTTTGATGCTTTATTATGCACACCTAAGATGTTTTTTAAGATAAAATTTTGGATTTTTTTAAAAGGAGTTTTATCAAAATTGTTGGGATTTGTATTGAAATCAGAGATCCAAATTTCTGAGGAGTATGTTAAAACTGGAACAATAGTTCATTCATATAGCTTTAACCATAAGCTGTTTTAAACTTGTTATGTGGGATTTCACTAATGACAAAACAGCATGCTGTAGTTAAGTTTCGATGCAGTTTAATGGTTTCCTACGAGTAAATATAGGAAGTCATCTCATTTTGTATGTTGGTTTTGTATGATGTCATAGTAAAAGTTTCCTGTACAAATTAGGCTCCGCTGCGTACACTTGAACTACGGTATCCCAAACACTATCTCAAATACCATGAATATGTTGAAGTGAAGTCTAACCACTCATTTTTTAAGTATTTTACACTTCATATCTTAAATCCTTGGATATCTTATAGTATTTTCTTGGTTTCATTGATTTCGAGTTAACAAGGTTTTACTGTATAGACCAAGATGGTTGAAATTGGGTAAACAATTACAGAAAAGAAGCTGAAAATATTTGTAAGATTACTCATTAATTCGGATAACGCCAACAGGTCTCCAACATATGTGTTTATATTGCAAACAAACTTGATTATGAAAGTAAAGCTCAGAAATCTATATATCAGATACATAGGCCAGTTTCCAAGTCAAAATAAGCAGGGATATGTGTATCTGGGCTAAATTCCACTGTATCCCTTGGTGGCATAAAGCGAGGAGAGGGATCTGCTCCTCCAAACCAACTTCTGGAGAGTATGTTCTCTCTCTTTTCATGAAGTGCACTGCTCTGTAATCTGATATGTTACTTTATAATTAGGTCACAGGTTGTAGACACCAGTAGAACGTAAGCAGAACTATTATTAACAATACCTATTACAATGAATCAGATTTGCCCAATACATTGAAAAGGTGAAAAAGTAGCATTGAATAATTGACTAGAATTGATATGAATGATTACTGAAACTTAATTCAGTCTTTAAACTAAAGGTCTGCGAGCTTAATTCTGTCTTTAAACTAAAGATACTGTAACGATTTTGACTGTATATATATTTAAAATGTGTGTTTATCTATTTGTGGTTTTAATTTATTCCGACCGGAAGATTTATTCATCATTATTGTATGTTTAAACTACATTTAAACTTGTTATACATCATTGTTTTACCTTATTACCGTCTTCCTTGGAAGACGGTATTGTATAGTTGAAGTTTTTTACAGTCTTCGGACTATGCACTTCCTCTCTTTTGTGATTGGTAGAAAATGCATGATGAGAAAATTTTCAATTATTTCATTGGTTGAAATGCTGTTCAAGGCAAGGGAGATAACTTTCTGATGATCTAATTTTCGTACGACTTAACAATTTTGCAAGATTTTCAATCTTAAAAAAAAATGACAAAACGAACAACAAAATCAGCAGTAATTAATTCCTAATAACATGATTTTTTGTATAGCAAAAAATAAAAAGATCTCTTTAACTTCATTATAAATAAAATTTGATTTCTAATGCTTGCAGGCTTTACAATTTGTTATTATTCTTTTCCCCTTTCTTGTTTGAAGAAGGAAATGGAATCAGCCGAGGTTTGCCGAAAGCTCTCGGCGAGTCAAAGTTTACGGAGATGACCGAGCGACAACCGTGGTAGGGCTAATGCCAGTAAAAAGCTAATGTAGAAATACAAAATCAAGAAATTCAAAAGAATTATACGGCCTGATAGGTGTAGATCAGTTTACAGTTTAAGATTGTTGCTAAAGACGGGAAGCTTTTTAAAAAAGCTCTACTTGTTTATAAGACATACTGTCATTTCATATGTATACTTTCGTTTTCCATTACTTCCGGTCGCGGGAAATTATATACAGGTCTTACCTAGAATGTGTCGTGATTTCGCGGTTTATAACGTCACGTTGGGTCGTGCTACGTCACTTTGGGTTAACGTTTAGTTTTAGAACTCAGTTGGGATTTTTAGATGATAGTGGACGGACGTGAAATTTTTTAAGGAGTTATTTTGAAAAGTCAGCCCAGACTTGTGGAATTATTTTATTAAATTTGTAGTCGCTACCAGAATATTTGTAAGATGTCCAGGTATTTTAATTAATATTTGTGATCATTTATTTATTTATTATTTATAAAAATTTCAAATTAGAAATTGACTTCAACTTTATCTGAAATTTGGGGAATCCTTTGAATCTAGCAAGTGACGTTGTGTGACCATAATTTGAAATATAAATTGTTGTTAATTTTATTGAATATCATTATTAAATTTTGGAATATCAGAATATAATTTTTGGAAACTCTTATTATCTTAGTGTTGATTTCTTTAGTAAAAAAACCGCTACCAGGTTTATTTATATTTCGCTACCAGAAATTATAAGACCAGGCTTCGGGGCCACCAACCCTGATATTTTCTCAGATCTGAGATTTCGCAGAAAATCAGAGATTTTCTAACCAAACTGTGCCACCAAATAAATATTTTTCAAACTCACACTATTCTTTTGAGTTTTTTTCTTATATCTTACATATTTTCAAAAGCGCGTGCCACCAACGTTTTTTCCGACTCTGGTGAGAAAAAAATCAGAGTTTTCTCTGAAAATCTTGAGTTTGGTAAACAGTAACCTCAAATAAAAACTCACGTGAAATCACTCACCAAAATGGCTGGAAGTTTTGTAAGAAGGCGTCTGCAACGTTGTCGGCGAAAAGCTATACGTGTGCCAAGGAGGATCTTGGATCGATCAAATCCACTGGAAGGTTTAAGCGATGGCGAGATATTTGAAAGATATAGATTTTTTCCTGCAACTATTTTTTTCATTGTCGATATCTTAAAAGACAACCTTGCGTTCCCGAATCTCCGAAACAATCCACTGACACCCCTTCATCAAGTCTTGGTCTCGTTGCGATTTTTCGCGACAGGGTCCTTCTACCTGACAATTGGAGACACCTTGAATGTTTCGAAAAGTGCAGCTGGTAGGGCGACAAGGCAAGTCACTGACCTTCTGTGCCAACCTACAGGGCGTTTCATAAGCCTTCCCCGTGGAGAGGAGCTCCGAAATATCAAGGCAGCATTCCATAAGATTGCCGGTGAGAAATTTTGTCTGCACATGACCATGACCTTCACTTATTCTGTAGCTTGAACCCGATCATTAACGCATTTCACCACATAATAGTAAATTAAGGTATTCAATGTATAACGAAGGGATTTTGACTGATTTTAAATAATTTTAAACTAGTTAAAAGCACACAGCTAGAAAACGATAAAAGTGAAATAAACCAAATTCACAAGACTTATAACATGTAAGGAGACGGTCATTTTGCACATTCACAGTTTTTGAAGAGTTATCTGCCCTTGATGAAAAGAAGAAAATTTTTGATTTCACAAAATTTCTGCGGTAAATAATTTATTTTATTTTATATTTTAATAAAGAGGGAGTTTATGCATATTTTCACCAAGAGATTTCTTTGAAATTCAAATTACTTTTTACAATATCTTATAAAAACATGCACTGCCCATAGACTTCAATGTAAAATTCAAAGTGATATTAATTGGACAATAATCAAAATTTTGTAAATTCCTTTGGTGGAGCATTTTCATTTGATAATATCTTCAAATTGCTACCATGATTAAAAATATTGGACCGTTCATTTATTAGGTACAAAATGTGGTCGTTATACATTGAAGACCTTAAAACATAAAGTAAAATATAACACAAATGTATCATGCAGTCTATTCACACGAAGTTCTCCATTTGTACCTAAAGCATGCACGTTTTTACAAGCACAGAAAGGTAACCATATATCAATCGTAAACAGTGCACTAGTACTATTACATGCACCATAATAAATTAATCGTCATATATAAAGCGCCTCAGTACATACCGAAAAATGGGATTTAATGGGAACGCTTGAACTAAATCTGCCTTCGAAGTAAAATGACGTTTTGTTACAAGACATGTATAATTTATGAAGACAAATTAAAAACATATACTTTACACAAAGCATCCTAATGCCAAATGAGCTTAAAAGTGGTGCATGCCCCGTAGTGACATGCATTATTAAAATTTTATAAAGCCATAATCATTGTCAATATTTTGATGAAAAATTAGATCAAGGCTTTATATCATTAAAAACAAAGTGGTTTCATATTCTGTTGAATTACATTGTTTAATTGTGGGGGCTTTAAAAGCAGGGGAAAAAAAGGGGGAGGGGCTTTATGCCTTAGTCAAAGGGGCGTATTATGGGGCAAATACGGCATTAAAGATTTTTCTCATCTTCATACACAACTTCACAAATTATTTCATTCTATATACATATATTAACATCATGATAAAATTAATATGGCTTGATTAAAAATTACGAAGATGAAAATGCATACTTTTATTCATTACACATGTTATATACCATATATTCTGGATTTTTTTTTCTGGACTTTTTTTAAAAAAAAAATTATTTGCAATTAAGAGAAATTTTTCATAAAAATGTAGACCAAAAAAAAAAAAATCATGATTTTCGAAGAACCTTTATCAGTTAAAACTTTGTACTCTGTTTCCTTTTCATTGAGGATTTTTAAGATCAAAGGACAGGATATTTATATCCAAACCCTTACATGTACCTCTTTTCTCAGGATTTCCAAGTGTTGTGGGGTGTGTTGACGGGACAATGGTCAAGATAATAGCACCACAAGTGAACGAGGCTGATTACATATGTCGCAAAGGTTATTATGCCATCAATGTGCAGGTACTTTGAAATTTCAAAACTGAATTTCAAAAGATTGATTGCACTTAGTGTACAAAAAGTGGCCCCCGGTTAATTGCGCAAAAACAATATATAGAAAGTAACCCAAATAGATTAATAAAGCTATTCTTCTAGGTCTTAATTGCAACTTTGCAAAATTACAGGAATTAAAAGTAAGCAAAAAATAAAGAACGAGGCTATGTTTTGTAAGAGGGGTCACTGTAATTCATGAATTTCCATTGTAATTCAAAGTAAATTAGCATTTTATTAATTTTGTTTTAATTTTGATCCGTGTCAATTTAATTTTGATCGGGTTACGTCCAAATATTAAAAAAAAATAATTTCTCTAAAATTTCTCCATTTCGTTTCAATTTCTTTTAAAAATTGGATTTTATGGTGATTTAAACCATAGGTTTAAAAAAATATTCACAAATAATGTGTTTTATTTTCATAAATATTTTTTTATAATAAAAATCAAAAAGTCTAACCAGCCTTTCTTTACATATTTTATAGATATTAATATGATACATTCATTTACAGCAAACTGTTAACTCGAAAACATCTTAGTTGGATATAATTAATTTTTTTTTTCATTTTATTTGAAAAAATACCAAAAAAATTCATGTAAAATAGCTAAATAGCTTAAGAGCTAGTATCGACCTTTCAATGCTAAATCCCTTGTTTTAAAAGGATGACTCAAAGATCTATGAAATAAAAAGTTGGTGTGTTATTCCACCTTAATGTGACACAAAACCCAACTCGGACAGGCGCAACATTCCGGAATTAACTCCCACTAGAGGGTTTACTTAATTACCTTAATTAAAACTAAAGCGCCGTTTTCAATGAAAATTTTTGCAAGTAATGTACTAGTACCACACTGATAACAAAATATCGGTTAGGTGTAAAATTATTAAGATTTGAGTTAATTAGATAAAGTTAGAGGGGTTCAAAAAAGGGACCACAGCACCATGCTCAAGTGGAATCATTCTTTTCTTCAAAATATTCTATAAAATCGACTTCTTTCGCCACAGTAAATTCTTAGTAACACTTTCTCTCTCTCTCTCTTTCGAAAGGTTTATGTCTTCACATATATAAAATGATTTCAAAATATTTAAAATAGAAACTAAAAACATGCATCGGCTCCCAAAAATTAATCAGACTAAAATATGATTCCATGTTTAAATTGTACTTAAAAATTTCACCATTTCATACAGATGATGTGTGATGCTCGATTTAAAATCAGGGACGTGGTTGCTAAGTGGCCTGGTAGCGTCCATGATTCCAGAATTTTCCGGGAATCACACCTCTGCAGAGTTATGGAGGAAGGTAATTAGGCCAATAAAAATGAGTTTTTTGGTTCTCAGATCCTCCCTCATCTCTTACAAGTGTACCTCATTGACCCTCTCTATTGCTAAATTAATAAAATTAAAAAAAAGAAATAAAGTGCCTCACCATTTTTTGAGGTTTTGTACAATTTAAAATGCCTCCCTCCCTCAACATATTTCTTTAAAAGAAAAAGGCTTGAGAACCAAGGAATTAAATTTGCATGGCCTTATGAAATGGGATTCAATTAAATTATTACTCGATATTTCCAATCTGTATCCTTATATAATGGTTTGCTGAAGAATTTCTTTCATTTAATTTTAAGGACAGCTGCAAGGAGTGCTGTTGGGGGACTCAGGATATGGGTTAAAACCATATTTATTAACGCCATACTTAGCTACAGAGACATCAGCCACACAAAAGTTTAATGCCGCTCATAGCAGAACCAGGTTGGTACAATGATATACTCCCCCCTTTTTTTTTTTAATTGAGCATGCATTCAAATATTTGTATCATCACATTCACATCATATCCATTTTTTTAATGCACAGAGTGACAATAGAACAGGCCTTTGGAGTCTTAAAGAAAAGATTCAACGCCCTGCATTCAGGCCTGAGAACCGGCCCAGAGAGGGCTTGCCGGGTGATCACTGCATGTGCCGTCCTCCATAACATCGGCCTGGATAGGGGAGACATATTAAGAGATGTCCCCGAGATCACTGCAATAAATGAAGTCTGTGAAGTGCCCCTTCCAGAGGATGTCCAGGGTCGCACAGTGAGGGATCACATTAAAGACACATATTTCAGGTATAAAATACACATCAAATTCTTTCACTCTGAGTGTCCAGTCCATGAAATTTCATACTTTGAACACTGTAGCATTATATAAATATAAAGACACCATTGTTTGTTCTACTAATACATTTATTTACTTCTTACATATATACCATTAACATCTAATTTTAAAACTTAGTTTTCCATTAAATAAAAGGTCCTTGGGTCACAATGCTCACCTGAGTTACCTTGACTTCTCCATCAAAAGAACTTTATTAGATTTTTCTCCCCCTTCATTTATATGAAAATATTTAGCTCCATATTGTCAAAGTACCAGTATCGTAGGGTCAGGATATAATTTGAGTCCACAAACCAAGACTAGTGCTTCAAACAAGACCATGAAAATCCAGGTCGTGTCACAGAAGTTGCTGGCACGAAAAAGATCCTTCACTGCTCAGTGGTCCTATGTCCAGTATAAATCTAAATTTGCAGTTATCCACTGACTAAAATTATTGAAAGAAATATTAAGCAACAAACAAACAAAAAAGCTATTGTGGTTTCACCCTATCATGGAGACTATGATTTGAACAGACTTGAATCTGTACTGCTTGAGGGTGCTTTCACAATAACTTCATATAAGATTCTTGAATTTCTTTAAGATTACTTTAATTTTTTCCACTGGATCTTGTGAGCAAGTCCAAATAGATATTAAAAAGGGTTAGATGGACATTGGCCAAAAAGTGATCAGAAAAGCATATACCATATAGTAGGTTTTCTTGTCGGGTGTAAAATTTGGCGTTTTGTCTACTCAAAGGTATGCCAATAATTTTGGCGTAATTTATTTAAGCGGACGCAGGGTTTCAACCTTTTGAAAATCCACACTAATAAGAGTACTGACTATTTTAAAGATTGATATTTTAGCGGACTATCATCAAAATGCCAAAATAAGCCAAAATTAGCACCCCACTAAAATAACCCGATATACGGTATGTGTACATGTAAGTATTTTTACAATGTACATAAAAAAGTGTACATGTATATTATACAAAGAAACACCATTTAGTTCCCCTCAGTGTTTGGTGTAAAAGTTTACAAACAGCAAAATATTTTTCATGAAAAATGCCATAAATTACACCTATGTTTTGATATTAATCCATACATGTGGATACATATGTATATCCTTTATAACCAAGCTTCATTTGATACATGGTACTGAAAATGAAGAATTTTTTTTACATATCAAATGACTTTCACATTCTAAAGAGATCTTTTATGTTGTCATGACAAATACATAATTCTTTTAACTGGATCCTTTGCAAAATACCTGTAATATTTCAATTGAATCTATTAAAAATTTAAGTTTTGGTTGAATTTTGAGTTGTTCCTGTATTACCACAAGGCAAGGAGCATAACAGACAAGAGGCCCATGGGCCACATCGCTCACCTGAGCACAGTAGCTTTAAAAAAAAAAAAAAAAAAAAAGCAGAAATGAATTTATTATTGAAAAGTTTAAACCCAAAAGAGGTTCCAACAAATTCCTAAAGGGAAGAGGGTATGATTTGAACAAACTTGAATCAACACTAACAAAGGATGCTTGCATATAAATATGATCATTCATGCCTTTGCTATTCTTGAGAGGAAGATTTTTAAAGAATTTCCTTATATATTTCTTTGTAAAATTATGATCGGCCATTGTGGCCCGGCCCTACCCCTGGGGGTCATGATTTGAACAAACTTGAATGTACACTACCTGAGGATACTTTCCTATAAGTTTCAAGTTTCCTGGCACAGTGGTTCTTGAGAAGAAGATTTGTAAAACATACCACCAAATTTTCACTATTTCTGAATTACTTCCCCTTGAATTGAATCCCCTTTACCTAAGGATACTTTGTGGCAAGTTTGGTTGAACTTGGCCCAGTGGTTCTTGAGAAGAAGATAAAAATGTAAAAAGTTTACAACGACGACAGACGACGGACAAATACGTAGAGATTTGATTTATAAGTTTTTAATGTCATGACTGTATGCTAACATGGAAATTGTAAAGAAAGTGAATTGAATAAAATTATTATGGAGTGATGATGAAAAGAGATGGTTATAACTGTTTCCAAATTCCAAATAGCCCTTGCCAAGGGAAATAACTCTTGTAAATGTGAAAGTCATCTATAAAAGGATATTAAAAATTAAACTTCATGTACTGGGAGTATCTGAGCCACCACCTCAGGATGCTCATTAACGAACATTTGAACTTTTAAGTTGTAATACGATTTCTTTATTTCGAAGACTTCTTTCTCTAACTTGATCTTCTGAATTTCTTCTCTCATCTTCTCATGCTCTAATGTCATAGTTTTTTTCTTCAAGGTCCTGAGTGGTGGTCTTTCTTTTCTTGGAGGATGGTTTACTTCTATCTGCAAAATCCAGGAAACTTAAAAGTATAAAACAGATCACAGGTTCCCGGAAAATCAAATCATCATGTGTTATTCTATCACAACTGAAATAATCGGAATGAATAAACTTATACACATTATCTTTTTGTGATCTTAATTTTAAGGGGGAAATTATTTTCCTACACAGAGAAATTTGGAACTGTTGCTATAAAAATTCATGATATATGGGATTTTACAGTATATTCTATTTGTTGTTTGTTTTTTTATTCATTTGTAAAAGCTAGATGTTTCTTTTAATTACTGTAATACTATTGTTTATACATGCAAGAGTAAATAATCGTAATGCTATTGTAATGTTAAGAGTTAATTACTTTTAAAGTCGAAATGATCAAAGCCATTTATAGACCTGTATCCATAAAAATTTTGGGTAAAAAAATTGTGGGGTGCAACGTGAAGACCGGTCCTTCAGACGAGACCGTATAAATAGTTTTCATATCACACAGTTGTGACGTCACAATGGGTTTTGCAATAGAGGTATGAAGTAAAATGAAGTGAAGTCCTATATAAAGACAGTGTTGAAGCATTATTTGTGGTGTAAAAAACATGGGATAAAAAGAACCTCACATGATTTGTAGTTAGATATGATTTTTATCCAACTCGTTGTGTGTTTTTATCCCCTCACCAAGGCTTGAGGATAAAAACCACACAGCTCGTTGGATAAAAATCATGCATATTCAACTACAGATCATGTAAGATCCAATATCCTATAATTTTACCTTCTGATTCCTCTTTCTTTTTCAAAATTGATGGTGGACCACACACTTCTGATGCTGGATCTGTTTTGAAAAAATATTGAAAATTAATTTTTTTTAATTCATTAAACTATACAACTTTTCATAGTTAATTTAAAATTATAGTCTTATACCATATATTCATTATTATGTAGTTGTTGAGTGTGGTTAAGAGCAACAGTTGATTTGTCAGACCGGCCTGCAAACTGTTGCCCATGTCTGACAGATCAACTGCCTTATATTTACATTTGCATTATATCTTTCTTAGATGAACCTATTGAAGAGAAAATATGTTCAATTCTGTGCAAATGTTATTTGGGGATCAGAGGTCATAGTGCGACCGAATCACTGAGAGAGGTGATATTTTGTCTACATATTTCTGTCACAGTGCAACTTGTTTTGGAATATTTCTCAGTTAATAACGATAAAAAAGATAAAATAATAAATAATATGGATATTTTTCAATCACAAGATATAATATTCTTTTTTTCGGTGTGAATAAGGTTTTGAATGCTCTAATTAGCCAAAAACCGCAATTACCTTTTAAACCAGAAATCTATTAAAACAAAACCAGGCGATACCGACACTTTTGACTTCAAATATTTTAAGAACTTGTGAAATATAGTTAGATTATTCTCAGCAGTGATCATAACTGTTTTGTTATATTTATGTAATAAAACCTTTATATCAGTCTTGTATACATGTATTTCACTCAGGATTTGTTTTTCTTTCCTAGCAATTCCATAATGGAATATAAACAGTAAGATTTCATGCAATTAGCAACCTGGTTTGGTTTGAACATATTTTATTGTATAAATACTATACAAATGGTTTGAACACAAGTTCTAACAACTTACTAGGTTCTCACCATACAACTGTCAATATATATACATAGGGAAAATAAGTGAAAAGGAATATTGATGTACAAACAAGTTTGTTAAAATGAAACATACATTTGTTACATAATTATGATAAATATATAATTATATAGATATATAGAGTGTAAGTGTTAGGCAGTAATAGTTAATTAAATCTACCAGAATCTCTTATAAATTTATGAACTGACTGAAAAATATATTTATTGATTTCTACATTTTGTGACTCATCTCCCCACAGAAGTAAATGACAATCAATAATGTTCAATTTGATATTTGGTTTCGTAAGACACAGTAAATCTCTGAATAGCTTTTCTCTAGCATATTGGTACTTATTGCATACAAAGAAAAAATGATATGGGTCTTCTGGTGTACCACATGAACAGTTAGGACTCTCGATAATGTTTCTTCTATAAAGATCATAATTTAAAATGCAATTGTGTCGTAGTTTAGTATGTATGATATTAAGTCGTCTATTACCATGGGAGAAATAAGAAGGGTGGTCTGCTGGTTTTTTATGTATGTTATTTTTAAAGCTGCTAAAAGATATGCTGTTTCTAGTGGTGATACTCAGACTATTCCATTGGTTTATTGTATGAGGAACAAAAGATTTCTTGAATATTTCAAGTCTACATCTAGGAATAGTGTAGTCCTCTCTATTGCGTGTATCGTACTTTGATTCATTACGTCTTGTTGCGGGAAAAATACTTTTTAAATAATCGGGTACTAAGTTGTGATGTACCTTGTACATAGTATTAAGTTTTGCTACTTTTCGCCTATCTGCAAGAGGTTCCCATCCTGTTTCTAAATATAATGCATCTCTTGAAGCGATAATTGGTAACCCTGTAATAATTCTTGCAGCATAAAGCTGTACCATTTCTAATCGTTCAACATCTTGTAAAGAACACCCGTCCCAAACTATTGAACAATATTCAAGTAGCGGTCTAATGAATGTTATGTACATTTTAGATAAAGTTTTTCTACCGATATTGTATTTCAGCTTTTTTAAAAGACCTAGTCTTTGGTAAGCCTGTTTAACTATATTGTCTATATGATCAGACCAATTAAGATTTTGGCTCAAAAGTAAACCCAAATGCTTATGAGAGGTTATGTATTCTAGATTACATCGTTAAAATTGTAATTTTGGGAGATAATAATTGGATTTTAATGTAAAGAATAATGCTTTCGTTTTAGATGGGTTAAATTTCATAAGCCATTTGGAAGACCACTTGTCAAGAATATCTAAATCATGATTTAAAGTATATTCAATAGTTGCAACATTATAAGAGGAACTTTGCAACGGCAACCTGCTGTATCAATTCCTCCAGCTATTCCTTCAAGGGAAGGTCTTCCCTCCAAACAATCAAGAATGCACTGCTCAGCAACTGAAGGTGAAGGGGGCTTTGGGCCACCTCCTGTCTTTGGTCTTTTCATCTCTTGATAGTTTTCCCTT